ATTTGTACGTTACGTGTGCTATACGAAAATGACATCTCTCAGCGAAAAACCGTACATACTTAACAAGCATTAGATTTAATCTAATTATGCCAGTTCGGATATCTTTTAGCTCTTTCTTCTCAATTAATTCTTCTTTTTCTTTTTTTTACTATCATAATCACTCAGGGGATGTCTCCTATTCATGTAACAGGGGACGATCTGAAAGAAGCGAAGATAAACAAAGAGATAGGGAAACGGCCGCAGCTTAATAGGTGAGTGCACAATCGATAAATGTTATGCATTTACCGACTGAGTACTCACTACAGCGGCGATCAAAGTAGTCTCTACCGTATTGAGATTTGAGTCCGCAGGCACAGACTTGGCAGTCACGATTCTTGCCTACTCGGCCATTTATGCGGATTCCGTATTCTAGTTTTTAAAGTTATGCAACTGAGGAAAGAAGAGAAGACTCTTCTCCCTCTTGTTCCTGTTTCTCTCGTTGTCACTCTCTTTCTCTCCGTCTCTCTCTCTCTCTCTCTCTCTCTCTCTCTCTCTCTCTCTCCCTCTCTCGTTTACTCTTCCGCTTTACCTCGCTCTCTTCTCTTTTAGGTTTTTCCGCCTGTTCATTACCCTCTTTTCCCCACATCACCCTTTTGTCACTCTATCTTTGCTTTCTTTTTTTTCCAGTTTAGCTACTTTGTCAGATTACGCACCAAATTCTAATGCGACTTTTTATCAGCCGATCTGCGTAAGACGCATTTTTGTTATACAAAACAAGTCTTGTGCTGACCGGGATGAGTTCCGAATAAAGTTCGATATAGCCTCCTGCCACAAACTCCCATGTTTCCGTCTGTGGGAAGCTCGATAAGACACTAACCGCCAGATGAATTATTTTGTAAATTGATCAACTTGCGGAAGACTTTCGCTCAATTCTCAAGCCAAAGCCAACGCCATCGACGGAACGAGTAAAAGTACTCTTTGGAGAAAACTGCAATAGAGAAAATCAACAAGTGTAAGGACAGGGGAGAGTTGTGAAATATGTCCGCTTCTTCGTCATACTATGCGGAGTAAGATTCTCTCTCTGTTGAACGAATTTTCTTTCAATAAGAGCACACGTAAACATTAGAATGAGATCACCTGGATGCAGTAGCACATACATATTAATTTTGATAACGATGAACGCATGGATCCCACAAAGAGACGTCTGCAGTACGAATATTTTATGACAAAGATGTTCTTTGCGAGCGGGCGACGCGTCGTGCTTTATGGAAACGTGCTGTTAACGTATGTTTGCTTTAGCTGATAAGTATCCAAAATTCGTTTTAAAGGCAACACAACTTTTTCATTAGCTGCGCTTTTGCGTTTTTTCCTTCTTTCCCCATTTATCTCTTTCGGTTTTTCACTAAAATAAAAACCTGTAATATAATAATGAAGTACAATTTTCACCTTTGAGTAAAAAAAGGGCTAACTTTGCACAAAAGGTTTTCCGGCCTACCTCCGGTTGTCGTTCCTAACATTTTCTTAATTAATAATTAATTTAGTATTTTATGCACATAGGAAGTAATATACAACGATTATTTTTAGGACAAAGAATGCTATGAACTAATGAGAATGCATTGTAAGCTAGAGCTTTTAATATCTTGCGCTAGCTTTAATAATTTTTAAAGTATTCAATTAATGCAAAAGTATGTCGTCGTTTGAATCGGGTAAGGCTTAGTTTACCTTTCGGTCCGATGTAATTGCAAGGTCGCGAAAATTGAAGTGGAAAGACAAAGTTTGTTGTGTAGACGTACTCAAGAGAGCGTCCCCAATTCGGGATTAAATAGTCGAAGAGAAAGTAAAAGAGGTTTGGCCTTCAATCACAGAATTTAATCTAATTGCTTAAAGTCATGGCTTAGCAAATGCATTGGAAATTGCGGCGAAAATACTTACCAAACTCTTTTAAACTTCGCTGTAAAAAATTCTTATATAGTGACTTAGAATGACGGTCACCTGAGAGTCGCTCTGGACGAATATATCTGTCTTACTTGTACTAATTACTTTATATTGATTTTTTATTACTATGTACGAACAGCTGACTTCACAGCAACGACTATAGTTAACGAATATTACGTTTAGATAAGAAATAACCTGCAACTGTGAACTTAACGTTTTTGATAGTGTTTGGCCATTTTGAATACTTTTCCGGGCGTTTTCACGTGCTTGATCTACCGCATAGTTAAGCAGTTAAGACCCCTAACTAACAAGTCGGTATGTACCGGATTCAATTCTCAAGAGCGGTAGATTATTGATGTGTCGTAATAGCTATAGTGAGTACTCGGTCGGTAAACGCATGCAGCTGCCAAACTGCGGCTGCTCCCTATCTCTCTCCCCACACTTCTTTCTTTCCATCACGATGTTATACTTACTCGCGAGATCCCCTACGTGAGTCTTATAAGTATAAAAAAGACTATCGGGTAATGTTTCTAGTGGTGGGCGGATAGACAAACACGATCTAGTTCGATTCATCGATGCACCGATTAAGAATACGTACGCTTATGGTGTTGCTGATACTCGTCTCTGGGCGTCGCATCAGCAAGAACAAATCCAGTACATCTCCATTCTTGATCCTAGGGGCCTGTATACGCTTGTATTTCTGTGGGAACCGCATTACAAATGTATGTAAAACGTTTAATTTTACTCGAACTTTCTGTCTCATAATTCCGGAATATTAATGTACAAGAAAGTTACCTTGATTTTCTGGGAAATTAAGCCAAAATATCCACAGATCAGGAAAGTTACCAAAGTATTGGGTGTAGCTAAATACTTATAGAGACTTTGTGCGCAGTTTTTATATCCGCAGCGGTATATTAAGTTTGGACGGATGTATATAACACAGAAAGTGACTTGAGGCAGAAACACATTTTATTAGGTATTATCAGGATCACTTTCTGAATCGATCTAAACTTATCTGGTCGCATGATCTCTAGTCATATAATTCTATAAAAAATGTTCAGTTTACAGGTTGCAATTTTTGATTTACACCGACGAGTTGCGGCCCAAAGACAAACGCTATTGAGATTGGTTCGGATTGGACCATTCTTTCGACCACCATCCATACAACGCCTTGTTTCGCAAAGTCAGTGTAAGTGTATTAAGGGAATAAGTATCTTCCAAACCAAAAAAAAAAACCCGGTCTGTAGCTTAAAGCTTACGGAAAAAAGGCTAAATACGTATGGTCGCACCAGCATTCGCCAAACTTCGATGTAAACGACTTGGAGATTGAAGCAAAGCTCTATCCATCCATCAGTCCACCATCACTATAGATTAAGTTAACCCAGATGCATCTATTTATATCTTAAATTTGTTGTTCTCCCGACTTCTAACTACATATATAGGCTGGCGAAATTTTCTATCGTAATACCTAAGGGATAGGTTTTTATTTTAAATACTTGTGCATACATGATTATGTACACATTCGTTGACGATTTCATGTGTACTTAAAAGATTTTTCTTTCCCTTTGCTTTTTCCTGAACATGAACAACAAACAAAAATCGCAGCTAATCCTTCAAGGCGTTGGAAAGGTTAAATATGACGTCAATGCACAATTGACGTCAATTTCGATTCGTTCATGAATGATAGCATTGAAGTGACACTGGATGGAATGAATTTACATTCCATAGCTTACATTATATTATTTTATATGCATACACCGGCTTGCAAAATAAGCCAGTGCGCACCTACGTGCACAGACAGACACACAAACATGACCTAATAAATAAAATGGTATAATATAAAATGTCAAACTTTGTTTAAAGCAACAGCTTAACGATAACTGAACTTAAATAAGCGAAATATTAAAGTCGAAAAAAAGAAAACAAGCAAAATGAAGCCAAAATATTCCTTCATTGTAAGAAATTGTTGCAAATCCGATAGATATCAAATAAAGGTCAAAAACAATCATTCAAAAGCTTTTGAATTTGTGAAAGTAACTTTTGTTATTTTTTTAACTCTTGAGATTGAAAAGATAAAGAACCGATACGAAGTCTTCCAGTTAAAGGTCAAGTTTCTTAGCTAAACAAAGGCTAACCAATCAGGTTGCACCTTAACTTTATATCGCGTAGATATCCACGGATATGAATTTGAAATTTTAAGTCTTATACCTATCGCGTCTAAGGCTTGAGATAAAATAATTTTACTACTTCGTATGCGACACATTGAAAAAAAAATAGGATTGCTCCCTTCCGGTCGTCTCAGCCACGTTTGCAAAACTTTCTTTTTTTTTTTAAATATTACCAGTGGATCAGGGTATGTCCCCTATACGTCTAACGTGCTAGGATGGTAGGAAAGAAATAGGGAAATAGTATGAGTTAAGGATCAATCGCGGCCTAGTGGGTGTGTGCGCCATATCTCCTAATGACTTCATCGATCGAATACTCGCTGCAGTTACGACGAAGTGCAGTCGTTAAAGTTGCTAGTCGCGACTCTTACTTACTCGAGTAAACGACAGCCGAAGAAAGCATGCACTTCGTTAAATCAAAAGTGCAAAATAACTACATCCGAAAGTTGCTTCCAATTTTTCGCGAGTATGCGCCGAGTAGTACTGAGGACCACGTAAGATCAATAATTCCGATTGACACATGTATTACAACGCTTGCCGTAATTCAGCAAAGTCTTTCACAGTTCACCACAAATTCGTGCTTAAAACGGAACATAGTCCACCAATCTCGGTGCTACATCACGGAGAATATATTCTCGATCAGCATGAAATTCTGAATAGATTTGAGCACGTCCGTCTGTCAGTTTGTCCATCTGTGTAATATCTGTTGCAGGTACTCTCCTGGCTGCAAAAAGGGTAGTGAAAATGGGCAAAATCGGTCGAAGGACACTCCCACAATGCCACGTAAACTGAGAGCACCTCTGTTATATACTAAGGTGTAGTGAATACCTTCACGTCTTTATAGAAGATTTGATCCAGAACGAATATAATTTTCTTACTCGTTTCTTTTTATTTTCTTAATGCAATCTACTGAATCCAGCCATGAGGCCATCCATTGTAATGCGTGGGATCCTTTAGTTGATCGGTGGAATCAATTTGCCCACATTCGTATTTCTTACTCTCTTGAGCTCTTCTTCTCTTTGCCTCTTTTTCTCTCTGTCTCTTCCCCTTTATACCATTCTTATGGGCATTATTCTCTTCAATATTCATACACACTTGTGCCGCTTTGGTAGCCTTTGTAACGCTACGCAAACATAAATTCGGTCGCTTCTTCTCCATATTGATATTAGTAATGGGCTTTCTATCGCCCGCTGTTAGCGGCATTATCAGTAGTGCCGTTATAGCATTTGTGCATCGTGCCTCTAGCTTACCCATGTCTCCTATTATTGCCATGATCTGGGGTATGGGTCAAACAATCGTTTCGGCCTGCCTAGGTTTTACACGAAATTCCCTCTGATTATCTGAACGCAGTGGAAGATAAATTGCAGCAATACAAAGAAGAGTTTGCGAATATAGTTAAGGATAATTAATGCAATAGATCGAAATAAAGAAAAGAGAAGCAATTAACCGGGATGTCTTGTTAAATGAACTATGATTGTCTTATTGATAATTATTAGCAATATTCGTTTTTATAAACATTTCTATCCGCAGTGCACCTGAACGTTGTAAATTTGTATTTTCTTTTCTGGATACGCTTGGAGCCTTCACCAGAAGTCATGTGTGACTAAAGCTCGCATCGTTTGCATTACCACTTTTATTCCCTGGCTTTGCGTTCTTTCTGGATGGAAGGACTGAACCTAATTGTTCACGAAGTACTTGAATTAAGCAAAAGGAGATCTCATTATCGATCAGATAATTATGTTACTTTCCTCTTTCTTTTTGGCAATTGCCTCTTGCGAACTGAACCTCTTGGATGTGAGGCCTATTATACGTCAATTGTAGTAGCAGCTATAAAAAGTGATGCGTATAAAAAGTGATGCACAGTTAGCATACATGCAAAACAATTGAGAACGAATATATGCTTATTCTCAAAGCGGCTAATCTTGGAGCATTTATAAACGATGGGCAAAGATTTCCTTTTTTCCACCGCGTGTTCACATATCTTGGAAAATTTTTGTACTGCTCTATCCTATGCTCCCCGCCGCCGAAAGGAATGTACAAGCAGCCATGTGAAGGTTGAATTTTGCCTGGAGTCAAACTTCCGCACCAATCGGCACGACCCACGTACAGCGGTTCACCGTCGCCTGTATGACCTACACCTACAGCATTAGGTGGGACACTTCCCCCACTGGCTGGTACCCAAACTGAAGAATAACAAATAGAATTTAAAAACTTTTCGCAGTGTTTTCGTTACACATACGCTTACCGTAATGATGTCCTGTCAATATTTCGCGTGTGCGTTAAAATTTCAATTTTATCTAAAATTTCAAATTTAATCGCAGGTGAGTACGGTCGAACGTTAGCAAACTTGAATTGTAGGGAACGTACCACCCTATTTATGGGAAAACGCCTCTTCTAATTCGTTTTGTGTCGATCGAATAGCGTTATTTATTTTGTGACGATAACCAAGGAATGGATCCCTGCCTGAACCCTCCCAGCAAGTTTAGAGAGTTGGCGACTAACAATGGATAGGTAATAATGAATAAAATAACACCTCTCTACACAAGTTAATAGTATAAAACCATTCGAGGAGGTTGTTAAGCGTGTGCTTTAGAAATTACAAAAAAATTACTTTCGAAAAGAATTGAAAAATGGCAACACCAAAACCACAAGGATACAAGGCCGAAGGTCCAAGGATATATTAAGCTTATGCAGATATAAGTAACAACGCGAGATGAACCCACCACCGATTCAGAATTCAGAAAGTGATTCTGAAGCCTAAGTTGAATTGACTTATTTTGGTCCAAGGACGCGCGCTATCGTCAATGGTTCGGATCGGACCATTCTTTCGACCGCTTCCCATATAACGCCTTATTTTAAAAATTCATCATATGAAAAACTCCAAGATATTGATCTGAATCGATGACAATTAAAGGGAAAATCTATAAATTTTATACTTGTACAGGATTCATCTCAATCTATTTTGTTCGTTTATCGCTCGCCTTAAACAAATATAAAAAGTTTAATTTTCTCTAATGTTGTGTGAAGGAAAAAAAAGTAAGAAGACGGAAGAAATATATTTCCTTTTGTCCAAACGTCTACTTGCTTTCATGCCCGTAACCCCGCAGAAATGTAATTAATTTGATATAAAGTATAAATATTGTAAGCAATATATGGTTTAAGAGTGCATAAGAGAATCTGAAAGAAAATTTAAAAATTCCTATATATTTAAGAATTATATAAAATATACAAATTCTTATGAAATAGAATAAGGAAAACCTCTTGAGCTGGCTTTAATAATAGAAAGCAATCAACAGGAAGAAAACAATCTTTTGATGAGTATTAAAGCATCGAAATAATTGTATATGCCTTTCTGCTTTTCCCTGATTAAACCGAATTATTATTTTAATGTGAAGACGAGCAACTTAAATTGTCACATAACCTACACAATAACAGCTTAAAACGTTACATGAACCTATGCGTCTTAATGATGAGACCCAAGCACGTTGTTATGCATGTTAATGCCTAAAAGACTTCCTCCCTCTGAAAAGGATTCCAATATGAATGAATGATGACCCGTCCTATATACTGTTAGCCGGCTAATTTTTAAAATGACCTTATTGAGTTAAAATTCTAGAATTACAAAAAGCTTACAGTCTAATTAACTACGTAACTTTTTAGCGATAAACGCAGACATTAAAATGAAAATGGAATGATTTGACAAAACGACAAAACATTTTTCTAAAATACGTTATTATGGGAAACACTTAATGATAGAATTTTATGAGGAAACCCGACAAGGATTGGAGGGCGGATCATGACCCATATATTCGTCGTACACAGTTAACTGGTTAACGTGTGTTGCGTAGATAAACTGCGACGCGATATATACATATACAGCTTAAATAGTGATGGGCGTATATTGATCTTATTGATCTTCATATTTTCCTTCTTTTATTCTTTTGTCATATTCACACCTCATTAGGCCTACGTAATTATGTGCTCTAGTACACTACCGCAAATTTTGTTAAAGCAATAACACTACCATGAAAAAGAAATAATCTTTTGTCTCATCAAACGACGTGAAATACACGTTATATCGACTAAGAACTTCGTCATTCCATTGCACTTCAAAATACTGTTACGTATAAACTGCCTATGTCGTATTCATAAGCGTCCGCTTTTAATGATATGCTTTCCAAACGTCTTAGCATTATAAACGCTTTGAAAATAATCGAAACCTCATCTCATCTCATGCTGAGATGAGGTTTAAATGACTCAATGCTGACATAATGTTTCAATTTATTGTTTGCAATATTTTAAGGCAATGAGTTATTGCCTTACATACATTTGCTTTACAAAATAAATATTTTTGTAAATATTAGAATCAGTGGAAACGTTGTTGAAATCTGTAACATGTTTGATAATACAATCAATAAGTAGGATTTGGGAAATTCTGAAATTAAGTAAACGATTTTTACTCATCTTTCGTTATAACCAATCGCTAAAGGGCTCTCGTTTATATTGGTATACTACTGCAGATATAATTTGCGGTTATTATTTACATTACATAAAGTGCTTAATATGTTGAATTTGTGTTTTATTTCTTTACCTCTCGTATTTACTTTAAAGCCTTTTTCAAAATCTTTTCATTTTATTCAAGCCGGAACGATTTTAATAACATTTTTACTTAGCATATTTTTATGCAATATATTTTTAACAGAGAGAGGAATGCAGTAAAAAAATAAACCAAACCATCTGAATTCAAGCAGTAAAACAACAAAAATAATACCAACAACAATATCGACAACAGCTATGAGTCTTATGTCTCCTCATATACACCGGCTGAGTTCATTTTATATAGTCAAACTTTCAAGTACATACTTACTCGTACACAAATGTATGCCTGTGTTTACAGATGTATGTGTATATGTATGTATGCAACAACATATAGAGTTGTGTGAATTGCTGTTGTATGCCTTTAATAATATGCTTCATTTCACTATATATATATCTATATACAAATGTATATATTTCTTATATACATATATAAATAAATACATACGCATCTACGTACGTACATCTATATGAAACACATATATAAAGAAATCATATATTCCTATAAGCAGGCATTGACTATGTTATGCGTGGACAAGAAAACATAAAAAAAGTGTAGAATGTACTGTCTGTGTACGATACTTATATATAAAAAATTACAAAAATCCATCTGCATGTATTAGCTATATATTGAATAAAATATTAAAGAAAGAACAACAAAATATATGAAATTAAAATAAAAAAAAAATCATTATATACAGCAACAACTTTATATATGTAAGTATATAAGACACAACTGCTGCATTCCCAAAAAGAAAAAACAAAAAAAAAAAAACGAAAGCCGTCTCAGCGAAACCAGACCAGACCCTCATCAGTATGAATTCAACAACGAATACGAACGGTTCTACGGATATGTGCTTTTTTCATACAAAAATATTAAATATAACAACAACAACCACTGAACTTTGCTACGATATAATATATACAAACACATATAAATAAGAAAAGAAAAAACAGCGTACACATAGCATACATAATTGTTGGAAAAAAAAGTGCTAAATAATAAACAAACCAAACAACAACTGGCGCCTTGCGTTACAAAGCAAAGCAAAGCAACTTATGCAGTGTTAGAAAGTGAGAAAAAGAGTCTGACAGAGAGATAGAGAGAGAGCGAGAGTAAAAAAAGTATATTGAGTGCGAATATACTTAATTATCACACAAAACTCTCCTAAGAGTGGCTTGCTGAGACTCTGTAGCGTTAATATGCGTGTACATTATCCCTACTCAGATAGATGCCAAGCGAGAGAGCACGAGAGTAAAGAAGACAACAAACAATATTATTATTGAGCACGAGTATATAATGTAAATGTTTATAGTAAAATACAACAAATACTGCTGCGACTACTACTATTGCTACTGCGTCGCTCTTAGATAAAGAGCGCAAAGAAAAAAAATAAATAAAAAATTTAATAAAACTCATTTACTTCAGGTTTGTGTGTTTGTGAAAGTACTAGCGGCGGCAGCAATTTTATACCTGACAGATATATGAGAGCATGGTTATATATTGTGCCCAATGCTAGTAAATAGGACTTAAGCTAACAAAAAAAAAAAAAAACAAAATTGTATATAAGCAGCATATGAGGGAGATTTGAGATATAAAGAAAATAAAAGAATCGAAAAAGAGCGTTAAGCCTGAATGTACAACTGCTGCACTACTTATGAAACATTTCAACTCTGAACGTTGAGCAGTAAACAAGTAACGGGAGGCTGTAGAGTCTTCGGAAAATAAAAATAACAGAAAAAATTTTAATTTTGTTATTCTCTTCTTATATCATAAAAAAAGAGTACTTATGTATTACATTAATGTGTGTATATAGGTGCATGTACCAGTACATAAATTAAAAAAAATATCTTTTCCTATAATTAATTAAGAAAGAATCAAAAAAAAATCGTGTTGCGCCATCGCTCTAAAAAGATAAATTAAAATAAATCCGTAACTATATTTATAGTATATAACATACATTTGTATATATTTATATACAGATCTGTGAAATATCTACATATATATATACATATATATATATATATATGTATATACATAACCTAAGTAAAAGCACGAATGTGTAAAGCAAACGGCGGTAACAGAAACTGAGAGCACAAAGGCGACAGCAGCAGCGTTTATACAACAAAAATCATTGAAAACAGACACCGATATAAAACTCATGCATGCCTTTCAATGTGTGAGTGTACTTTTAGTAAATAAGCGTACACGGAAAGTATGCGTGTGACAACAACGATAACAACAACCGCAATAGTAACACGAATGTAACAGCAATGTATATTAGATCTACTGCAAAAAGAAAAAGAAGCGAAAAAAAGAAATATCTTAAGTGACGAGATTAAAAAATATATTTGATAATTAAAATTAGTAATTTACACAAATTGGAAAACAAAAAGAGATCAAAGTGAAAAGAAGTTTAAAAATTTTATTTTCCACACATTCATTGGATTACTTTTACCCCCCACTTGGATTAACTATCTCTAATGGATTATTTTATTCGTATTTTCCTCTGAGGCAACAAAACAAAGGTAAGTTCTTTTTATTATCTAATTTGTTCGAATCATTTCATTTGTACAAATATATACTTGACACTTATTAAAAAGAATAATTAAAATATAACCCAAACATTTTCTACTTACCACGCTCTACTCTCGCTACTCTATACTCAAGTTATTATTTACTTTTTTTTGCTGAAAATAAATTCCAGCTGTAGTTTATAAACTCGCAGTTTGTCGAAAAGTCTTACAAATGTTAATGTTACGCATATATACATAAACATATATATATATATATATATATATATATGTATATCTATATATGTATAGATATATATACATGTCTATATATGCATATGTATCCATATACAAATGCATGCAACTTTATACTATACATATACATATAGAGATATACGTTTATGTATAAATCTTTTCGTCTAACTGTGGGATACAATTTTCAAAATTTCTCTCGCTTTGTCACTGTAAAAAGACATATTCTACTCTTATTGCGAAACATTCGTTATCGGCTCTTGCTCTCTCTCTCTCTCTCTCTCTCTCACTCTATTCTCCTTGTTTATTTCTCTCCAACATCTTGTTTACATTAACAGACAAGATAGTGTTGTCATTGTTGTGTTTTTACTTTATTTTTTCGGAAAATAATGAAAAATTGAAAACGCACCTCTTTGGAGCTAAATCACTTCGACAGGAAGGCAAGGTCACACATCATACGCTATTTCTCGTACAAATTTGTTTATCCTTTTGATCGCCTGATCCAGCCTGTGAAAAAGTTTAGATATAGAGAGTTTTTTGAATTGCAGCGTGACTTAAATAAAAAAAAAGGATGAACTGTTCTTACTGTTTTTTATAGCTTCCGCTTCGAGGTTGAAATGCAGTTTACTGGCAAACAAACCAAAATCAAATTTGATTTGATTTAACCGCTATGAGGATGTACCTAAGCGCAGCACCAAATTCCGATTACTTACAAGTCATACAATTTCCCTCAATTCGTATGTACATGAAAGTCTTTAGCGAATTTGGTTCGAATTTCCATTGTCATGATTGCTGTCTTCAAACTTTGCTTCTTTCCTATGTAATTTCTCTTTTTCTATTCAAACTTTATTTTATTAAATTATTCATTAATTTATTTCGCTCTAAAAAAAAGCAGAAAAGATTGTTGTATTTGGATTTCAGTTTTAAAAATTTACTGCAATCACAATTTACTGGTCACATAAGACCATCTTCTTAAGCCAGCGAAATTCTTCATCCAGCCAGTAAACGTCTTGCTTAGCATTGGTAACGCGCCGTCTGCTGCACCTTAATTATTTTAATTAAGTATATGTATGTAAGAACAATTTCTCATAAATACATAAAAATTATGAGCTAAAACATAGATAAGTAGTTGTGCAAGACAGCTCTCAAGCCCTCATATCCATGTTCGCCTGCTTGTGTCTTAGAATATAATTTTTAATAAAAGAATATGCAGAATTTTATATTTAGGGTACGATCGTGGGAGCTAACTAAACTATTAGTAAACTAGACATGACAGTTCCATGCACTCCTAATATCTAAAAAAAATGAAAAATAAACAAATAAATCCAAAGGTTTTGCTTAATACAAGAACGGCCATGTTCTGATTAAAAGTATATTTTAAGGCGTATTTAGTAAGGATCCGCAGCAAGTTGTACGAGTTGATCATCGATACCGGTAATCGACACTGATATCGTACTGAAATTGTGAAATTTAACCAAATTCGACCCCTTCATAGTGTTCTACTTGAGAAGTCCGCTGCGGGCCGGCTTAGGCATTTCTTCTTAAATAGGTTCGAACATGTCTTATTATGTCTTATTTCGAGATGACGACAGTTGCTTGTAAATTTCTTTTTTGATTTTAAACTCGAACATTTTCGTTGCGTTCAGAAATCATTTGTTAAAGATGTTTAGTGTAAATGCCATTCCAAAACCGACACATGTGCCACACTGTGTATAAGAATTTTATTTAATTCTCTGCGTATTATTGCTGTTCTACTTTTTATCCTTTGTGTATATTTTAAAAGTGCGTAAAAGCATCGTCGCTCGAAAGAAATGCTTTATGTTGTTTTAAAATGTACCGAATGCAGATAGACTTTTTCGCGTCTTTGTGTTTTCTCTTTCGTTCTCGCCCTCCCTCCCTCTCTCTCTTTCTCTCGTTCGCTCTCTTTTTTACTTCTCTTTTTCAGTTTTCCTCTTTGCTATTATCCCCACTGCTTTTTTTTTATGATCCCAAAATGATTTTCATATAAATAATTTTATGTTTACCATACTATGAATCCTTCGCACTAAAGCGCTGAATAACTTTACTCATATATTTTTGTATATAGCCTTTCATAAAGTTATCCTTTTATGCGTATATTTATGTATGTATTCTTTTAAAAAAGAGTTGAGACGCTTTGTGCTTTGATTATGTCTTTGGTACCGTTACCTATACACAATACAACAGCAATCGCTTCTACAATGACAATAACAACAAATTCAGAGGACAAAACGGCAGTAAAAGTGGAATCATCTACAGCAACAGTAAAAACAGAAGAACTGATGGCAAATTCTCACACTCAATACGGGCAAATGCCCTCTACAACGAATAAAGGAGAAACTAACCGGAATACAATAACGACAACAACGGCAACATCGACAACGACAACAACAACAACGATAGCGACAGTAGCGAAGGCAATGGCAACAACATCAACCGATAGTGATGATGCGTTGCATGAAAACAATGACATTAGCATAAAAAGTGAAGATGAAGATGAAGTAGAGTTGAACCAAAATGAATTGTCATCAAAGAGCCAACATAATGGCATAAACAACAATAATAATAATAACAACAATAACAAGAACAGCAACAATATTAATAACAAAAACTATGCAAAAACCAACGTTAACGGCACAACAAATTCCAATAGTAATACAACAAGCCAACAACAACAACAACAACAACATGAACAATATCAGCAGAAGCAATTGTCATTAAACAAAAATTCTTCAACCACACATTCCGGGGATACATCGTCATCCTCATTGGCGGCGTCGTCGTCGTCGTCGTCGTCGTCTTGTACAACAACATCAAATGTAGCTTCGTCGTCATCTCGTCATAGCAGTAACGTTGTTTCGTCACAATGTAGCAGCAGTAACAGTAATAACGCCACCACCGCTTCTACCGCCGCCGCCAATAACAACAGCAATAATAATAATAATAATGTTAATAATATTCGCAACCATAAACAAAACGATTGTGGCAACAATATTAATAAAAATGAAAATAGTTTGAATCAAACTGCGATCAAAGTTGAGGATGACGAGGTGGATGCCGGCAACGCCACTACTACCACTACTGCCGCTACTGCCACCATTACTACTACCATCACTACTACCACTACCACAACGCCAGCAAAGCAACAAAATTCCTCCTCAAAGAATAATGCGGCGGCAATTGAAAGCGTTTGCAATGAAAGCGATTCCACCGAGCAATTGTTGTCGATGAAACCATCGCCTGTTTTGTTGAGTGCAGTGAACCCACATATCATTTGCAGTTTATGTTTCGGTTATCTGATCGATGCCACCACCATCGTTGAATGTTTACATTCATGTAAGTAACAAAAAAAAAAAAGCAAAAAAGAAGAAAAGCAAGAAAAAACTTTACATTATTGCATAAAGAGTTCGGATGCATTGAATTGTTTTTTACACATGAATTTTGCTTTCATTGCATAGCGAAGTAGAGCAACGTTAGACGCGGAAGTCATTGCGTTAGGAGGACTGATAAAATTTGTAACCGCTTTAAGAGCAGGCATATATCTCATCCATAAAAGTGTTACTGGCCTCATTAACCATCCCATCCCATCGCGCATTGCTTTCATCCCTTTAGGCCATTACAGTAACACTTGGTTTTACTTTATCCCACTCTAATAAATGTTCGAATGTGCGCATCTTCTTAAGGAATTTAGAAAGCAAGTGTCCAAGCGGACATATTTTAAAATTTTTAACTCTTTTTTTTTGGTTGTCTGTCCCTTGACTGTTTTTAATAATAATGTTTTTCAATATTTTACGCCTTTGAGAATTCCGGCAACCTGCACACAGAAATATGTCAGGAAAATATGTGTGATGCGCAAGGCTTCTCGCTTACAACGCAAATTCCTGCACGTGTCCACTTCTTTGTCAATTCATTCATTAACAGTTAAGCGTCTTATAATCTGTCAGAGTCAGATGTGGACTATGTACGTAGAAAGTTACATAACTTAAAAAAAATTAAAAAAGAAATTTGTTGAGAGTTGTACAGTCAAACTTCAATTTATCCTCCGACTACTACCAACGACTTTTGTCGTCGGTTCTCTTTGATTTTGGTAAAAATGATTTATATGGTAACGTATTTAAAAGGGGAACGATTTCATGTTTTTTCTTCTCCTGCAATTAAAAAATTGCAACAACAGATGATTCACTGTGTGGAGTAAGAATTTAATTTCAAGCCTTCTTGAGTACGTCCAACCTCTCTGGGGAATATGATGCCTGATCAGAAAGTTTTGCGTGGACCCCTAGATTTAAGAATCCCCAAAAGCCAAGTCTAATGATTCCCGCAAAGCTTTTTTGTAATCACGTAAAGCAATCACTTAAAACAAGCAAAAGCAGCATTGTCGGGCAAGGCCCATATAAATGCTTGTTAACATAAGCCCTTATCTAGGAAGCGAACCATTTGCAATAGGGTTTTACCTTGGACCAAAGGCATTTCATCAAAATATCTCACAAATTGCGAGCTATAGGCAGAAGCACATTCTGAATCGATCGGTATAATAAATGCCTGATCTATGTCAAGCACTTATGTTTGTTGTATGTGTTCGCACAAACTTTATATAACCCCTACCGCAAATTGTGTAGGATATCAAAAATAATTTTGACGAATTAGTTATTTTCAACAATAGCAGCTGTCTCGCTTATTGCAGATAAACACGGATGATTGTCCTTCATTTTCGATACTGCGATCAAGTGAATAGTGTCGAACCGACAGTCAAATTTGTTGAAGTTGGAAATGTTTTACCAAAATATTTCTCATTCAAGGAGGAATGTTACCTTACGAAGTTCAATGACTTGGCCCGTCCAATCCTAATTTTCACAACAATTTCCTATGTCGGTATGCTACACCCAACAGTCTTTATGAAGATATTTTAAAAATGTTGACTTATTATAATGAAGGCGCTATGTGTTAAGCGATCGTAAAGATTGTTCGACCCAAAGTTGGTCAGAAATAAAAATTGTGACGCACAGATTGATAGCAAAAATGCACCAGACATATGAACGGACCCAGGAAATCATTTTGAATCAATCAGCATTATAATAATTGTTTCCTTGTGGTTGTTAAACACACTCGCTTAAAAACTTAATATTATCTGACCCGCAAGCGGTGCAATGTATCCTAACTTTTTTAAAGTTATTGTATTCAATTTAATATTTTCGTGTGGACGTGGCCCAGTACTCATTCTCATCAATTTGAACGAGTAATTTTAATTTACTTGATTGCATGTACGACTTACATTTGGAAAGCTCAACAAAATGATACAAAGTTAGTATAAAAAAAAATCGCAGCTTTGCCTTCCATTCTCAACTTTATTGTTTACGTTATCAGACACGTGATTATTTTTCTCATTTTTAATAAAAGTAGTTCTTAGTGTGTGTAGTCGGTGTTACTTATATAAAAACGAAATTCCGAAGGCGTGCTTGTAAGCGCATGAATAAGCATAGAACGAATCGACAAATAGATATCTCTGTTCAGGCTGACGAAGAATGCGTGTACTGTTCATAGACCCCCCCGACGCACAATTTGATGTTACCAACGGGTTGGCTTAATTAGTGTAATTCTTTTAGTGAACCAATCGCGACGTCGTCAAGGCTTGCGGTATATTTATTGCGCCTTCAGTTTACTTTTTAATGCTTAATCTTCGGAGTTAATTCTTCTGAGCACTCGGGTTTATATTTATATGGACCCACCCAGACTAGAGCTTACTTCTTTGCTTGTTACAGCAAAAAAACATATATTTTTAGTGCCCACAAAAATATATCTTAGATGGTGACACAAAGAGCCTCTGATAGAAGAGCCGCCTGCCTGCTGAAATGAAGTCGCTGAAGGTATTTGCATCGCGTTGTACTTATTTATCGTCCGTAGAAAACTTGTGTTGTGGAAAATGAAATTTTCCCTGTGACGAAGAACCTCGTCTGTGACTGAAACAAGCCAACAACTGTATCTTTCGAGCTACAGTAGATTTTCATCTACGGCTCGGCAACAGAATTTATTAAAATGTTGAACACAAGCAACTTGAAAGGAAAAAACGTGTGTAATTTTCCGGCTACAAGCTACTATATGAGAATAATTTGAAAAAGTAAACTCGAACAACTTGAAATGAACAAAGATATCTAACTTTCCGCTTACAGTCAATATTGAAAGAGAGCTTGGTATCGAAACCACTTAAAAATCTGACGCTTAAAATAAGCAAAAAATTGTACTTCTTGCTATGTACTTTCTAATTACATCGGATATTGACCTAAAACCAAAGCTAAGAATGGCGACTGCCGAGCCAATGCTTCTGGGTTCAAATCTCAAGCGCTAAAACTTCAGAAAGAGGCATTCAATAAGACCGAAGGTAGGATGAATGTTGAATCAGAAGAGAAATCCTTGCAGGAGACGAGAGAAAGTCGCAGTCAGTCGAGGCATACATTGAGGGCTTATGCGCTAAACTCTCTTGTTTCAGACCAAGCAAAACGGACGTAATTGCTCAACGAAAAAGAAAACGTACCCTCTCCGTAACTGCATAACTAAATTATTTACGCTTCAATATAACAAAGCGTACTAAGATTTGTTTGGTTTTGTAACTGCAGTTTCCTGCAAATTTTTGGAAAGTAATCCTTTTACAAATACTTAAGCACCGCTAATAACAAGGCGGCAAAAAGGCAAAGTAGAAAAGTAAAAGCTCTTAAGTAACGGTATAGCTTTCGTTTAGGAAAACGTGCTGTTATTGAGAATTACGACTGCAAGGCAGCGTACCAGACACTTTTTACGATGGGGATTACGTAGAACGATGATAACTTTCTTAATGCATCCTCTCTGCACTTTCCACATTTTATTCTTTAATTACATTTAATTTAATGTCATTTTTATTTTAAATCCTTCACAGTTTGTCACAGTTGTTTAATTAAACACCTACGTACTCAGGAGTATTGCCCACGTTGTGAAATGGTAATTAATACCGTCAAACCTAATATCAAGTAAGTACACAAGATGGTCAGTTGCATAACTATTTAATAAAAACACATTTTACTTAGCCTTAGAGAAGAGAAGACATATATATATATACAGCAAATATATCTTTGTGTACGTGTAGACATGGGCAGCAAAAAGAAAGCGAATGCCGTCGGTATTTGCACTTTTTCGCGTATACAAGCGTGAATCTGAAATGAAATAGTGACTGACTGAATGACTGAGTGGCTCTTAGGCTTATGCATCATTTTATACTTTAATCATTAAAGCGACACAGCGCACACAAATGGCAATTACAACAAATACAACAATACAACAATACAACAACAACAACAATAATAATAATAATAATAGCAATAATTCTCGTATGGTTGCATAATAATGCCATTTTTTTTCTACTCTTCTGAAATTCTAAAACCGTGACAAGGTTTGTTTTTGTTTTTGGATATATTTCACTTCGCTTCACCCCGTCTCACTATCCTATGAAATAGAATGCACGCCTGTGTGTGTATGTGCGTGCGTATTTCAATATACTCTGAGACACAGAATGCAAAGTAATGAACCTTATGCCAAAAAAAACGAGAAAAAGAAAAACATCTGCGTCAACATTTTATTAATGCTTTCGAGTTTTAAAGGCTTTTGTTATTCATGTCGTCTGTATATGGGTCTGTGTCCGTGTCTGTCTCTACCTGTTTCCGAGTTTTTTTTTAGTTTACGCTTTAATAATTCTAAATAAAAGCGAATTTTCTTTATATCTTTTCTTTTTTTTTTCGTTATTATTATTCTTACATTTTATCTTTCGTTGTGTATTCCCTTAGATCGGATACTACGTTGCAAGCGATCGTTTATAAGCTGGTACCGAGTTTATATGAAAAAGAATTAATGCGTAAACGTGCCTTCTATAAAGATCGTCCCGAAGAAGCGGCTTTAGCAACACCCGAACAAAGAGGTGACGATACCGAACATTTGATATTTAGTCCTTCAGACTATATGTCATTATCATTGGAATATGCAGATATTGAGTAAGTTTCTTAAACATTTTTTTTTTTTTTTTTGTAAAATCAAATCTGCAAACTTGCTTATTAAAATCACAAGATCTCTAAAATCGAACTATTACCCTACCTTGATTGGCGGGTATGTTTTGTCTCTTTTGCTTTTTTTTTTTTTTTTTTTTTTTTTAGGGAACTCAACAAATATAAAACGAACTATAATGAGCTTTTGAAACCGCGTTATGTTAAATGTCCTGCTATGTTTACTGTAGCTCATCTAAAGAAATTTGTTTACGGTAAATTCCAAATTGATGCAAATCGTTTTTTCATCGATATCATGTACAAAGTGAAAACCATTGTGTTATTGGATCATTATACTTTAATGGATGTGGCTTATATTTATACCTGGAAGCGAGATGCTCCAATGCGCTTTTATTTTCGCGTAAAGAAAAATCTTAAACCTTTATTAAAAGTCAAAAAGAATTTGTTAAACACTCACTCTAAAACAAGCCTTATCACTACCACGATCGCCACTACCACCGCCACCGCAACCGAGATAACCACCGACACCGCCACCGACACCG